CCCTCCTGCCCACACCAGCTCCACGTGCCTTCTTGTCTCTGCGTTTCTTTTGATTTCATTTTACAAGCGTTCCCGCTGCTTGTCCAGCCAGGACCCCCCCTTCCCTTCCCGTGAGGGCTTTGGCTGCAGGCTTAACAGGAGCTGAGTGAGATGACTCCCTGCCCCCTGTGACTCGTTTGCTTTTCTAAGTCCTGCCGATGAGCCCGGCCGGGCTGTGCTGTCAGCAGCGGTGAGTGCCCTGGAATACTGCAGACCCTCCCGGCGCAGGAACCAGACTGGAGTCGGCCACGGAGGGAGGGCTGCCTCGATACCGGCATTCCGTTGCCAAACGTGTCACCTTTGGAACTAGTTCAGCTCCAAGGAAACCTCGCTTACCTCCTCCACAAATTGGTCATCTTGACGTGGTCTTTCAATTTACATGTCCAAAGTAACTTCAAAAAGGTTTCTTTGGGACACGATTGTGTCGGACCTTTGGGCAGAATAAGCTGTAGTAAAGGCCTGAAATCACAGGCGAATGAGAGAGAGAAAGAGAAAGAGAGAGAGAGAGAGTTCCCAGCTCCTAATGCTCAATGGTTTCACACTTTTCAGACACAAAAAGAAAAAGAGACAGTGAAGGAAATACTCCACTATTTAATACATTGGCATATTATGAACACAGAGTTTGAGAATATTAGCACAGATTACAATATAATTAGATACAGTATGTACAACACAGGTCTATATATATATATATACACACACACACACACATAAGAGGGATTTAACAAAGAGTTCAACCTATTTACCAAATGCAACATTGAAATGTAACACATTCTTTGAAGCTGAAACAGAGCCTCAGCCTCGCCCCCACCTCCTGCTGTTGTTGCTCATTAGTCAGACCAGTTACTGGACACCCACACCACGGATGGTTGACCCCTCGAGCTGGCGGCAGACCTCAGCTGATTGCCCCGGAGGCTGCACACGGCTGCTGAGCCGTGTTGGGGCTGACGCTCAGGGTGGTCAGTGAGGCCGTGATGACGTGCTCGGGCCCTGACCCTGTGCGTGGAACAAGGACGGAGGCAAAGTCAAGAGTTTGGGTTTGGGGGGGGGGGGCGGCCAAACCACAGCGTAGACAGCAGCGACAACCCGGGGTGTTGACTCTGCTCCTCGCCACCTGGGCCTTTCTCGCCGCCCGCCCTCACCACCCGCCCTCACCACCCGCCCTCGCTGCCCACCCTCGCTGCCTGCCTCGCTGCCAGTCTTACTGCCCATGCCCACGCAACCTGCCCTCACCCTCGCCGCCCGCCCTCGCTGCCCATGCCCTCGCCGCCCGCCCTCGCTGCCTACCCTCACCCTCGCCGCCCATGCCCTCGCTGCCTGCCCTCACCCTCGCTGCCTGCCCTCGGACCCCTCGCCCTCGCCGCCCTCGCTATTTTTGGCTAACAAAATAATTGCTTTCTTTGCTTTGTTTTAGAAAAATAAGATTTTTTGAAAAAAAATAAACTTTGTTGCGCTCAGTGGGAACTGGGGGGTGGGGGGGGGGGGGGTGCGGGGGGGAATCCGCGAGGTAGAAAATAAAACAGGAAAGAGAGAATAAACTAACTGAAAGGGACAGGAAGCTTGAAAACTTGGGAGACAAGCGGAACATTCCAGGGGAGGAGTTTCTGATGGCAGCGACAGCCTAATTTAACAATTAGTTACCGCGGCAAAATCGAGTCGTGGTGGGGGGTGGGGGTCAGCATCACAGCTTCTCAGGGGCTCACAGAGACAGGTGGCAATGAAGGCAGTGACCAGGTCCGTTGTCGTGCCTCCCTCCCATTTGAGAGAAATTGGGTGTAATGCAGAGAGGAAAAACTAAACCGGATCTGGAATTCATCAAACCGGCCTTTCGGGGACGATCGGGGGAGCAAAGAAACTATTTAAACAGCGTCCCTCACATGGGGTAGTGTATCTACGCGAGCGCTTTGCTGAGCAAGCGAAAGGAGGGAGGGCGGGAGGGAGGGCGCAAGAGCCACAGGCGGGAAAGGTGAGATTCGAGTAAAAACAAACGAGCATAAGTTTTCCGAATCAAGACTTGGTGCAGGCGACAGCGCAGGGCAGGATGTGACTGAGGTGAACCCAGCGTTAGCTCATAAGACAGAGAGAGAGTAAAAATGAGTCGTCCACATTTACACAAACTCCAACCACTAAATGATACCGATGGGCGCGAGGCAGCTCTCTGCACGAGGTTGTGGTGAATGTGGGAATCATTCTGGATGCCTGTGTGACAAGAGTTAAACTCCTTAAGAGTTAAACGACTTAAGAGTTTCCACGTCATTTACAAAGAGAACATTATCGGCGAGGGGCAAGTTAAGGCCGCACATCACTCAATCGATTTTGCTTTTTTTTTTCTTCTGAATTTTTTTATATTACAAAATATGTACATTCTCAAAATGTTTTTCTCTTCTTCAAGTAAAACCGTAGCTTTGCATAAATAAAATGAACCGGCTGTCCTGGATCAGCCCCAAATGATTTAAAACAATGCTTCAACTCTCTAGAAGATCATGTCACGTGTTTGTTTGTGTTTGTTTTTTTTATAAAAAGGTAGTCGCGTCTTTGGAAATAAAAACAGAAGTCGCTGGAAACCCTCAGCAGGTCAGGCAGCATCTGTAACAATAATCCTTGCAGTCGATAATAGCGCGTTATCACGTCTTCGAGACGTCTCAAATCGCATCCCAGGATCAACCATAAAGTGCATTGACCGTATATTTTGTGGGCGCAACGGAGAGAGGAAAGTTAGCGTTAACGTTTCATCCTGACGAAAGGTCATTGACCTGAAACATTAACCCACTTTCCTCTCTCCATAGATGCTGCCTGACCTGCTGAGTGTTCCCAGCCACTTGTGTTTATATTTCAGATTTCCAGCATCTGCATTATTTTGCCTTTAGTCTAATCTTTGGATCTGTTTAACGCTTTCACTTACCCTCTCTCAAAGATCAAAAATTGCTGGATACTAATACAAACTCTGAGTGTGTGAGTGGGGGAGGGAAGAAGGATTGAAAAGCGATTGCAAGTTATCCTGATGTCCGTCCAAAATGAAGAGCAAAGTTTAGTGCATGTGTTTATTTACCAGTTTAACATTTTCATTATTATTCTCTTATTATTATTAGACCGGGAGGGGTGTTGGTGGGGGACGGGGCTGAAAGAGAATGTGTTAAACGGAAGTTTAAAACCACAGATATTCTGGAGAGGTGGAGCGGGCAATGTAACCGCAGTTTCCAAATGTTCACATTACGACAGAAGGTGGTGATAGCTTAACAAGGTTTCTGTACTAACTTCGTAAAAATGTCCTATTACACGTGCGTCATGTGAGTGTGCTGAAAACTGGAGACATCCCCTGCATTCTCCATACAAATACACACCCCTTGCCACATTCAGTCCACAAACACCCAGTCGCTACCCCTGACAGAAACTTTGTGAAGCACCTCGAGACATTCCCGAGGTTATAGGCACGATATAAATCCACAGATGATTATTATCATCATCATTATTATTGTTATGAAACCTAACTCCATTCATTTATTCTGTCATTTGCATCTGTAAGCAGACGCCATCATGAATAAGCTCCAGATTTTCACTCCAGCCTATAAAAACAAAACAGAGTTCTGACGAAAGGTCATCAACCTGAAACATTAACCCACTTTCCTCTCTCCATAGATGCTGTCTGACCTTCTGAGTGTTCCCGGACACTTGTGTTTTTATTTGAGATTTCCAGCATTTGTGGTATTTTGCCTTTTATCACTCCAGCCATTCGGTGACTGGAGTCTGATTTGCCTGAGGCACAAACCGGACGTGTTAGTTACTGGTTTGTGATATTGGACGCTGAGGGTCACAGTGTCTTTATCTGAATCCTGGAAGCCAACAGCAGCCCCTCGTCACTCTGTTTACTGTCAAACTGACGACACACGGTGGGCTGCGAATTGCCCACCTCCCTCACTGCCCTCTCTCTGACCCACTTTGTTAACCTCACAATATCCACAGTTTAACTTGGCTCTCTAGAGGGCAGCAGCAAACCTCAGTCATGGCTTAAATACACACCACACACACGCACAGACATACACACACACATACACACACACAGGCACACACATACGCACACACATACACACACACAGGCACAAACACACACAGGCACATACATACACACACACAGGCACACACCACACACACAGGCACACACATACACACACACAGGCACACACATACACACACACAGGCACACACATACACACACACAGGCACACACACACACACACACACATACACACACACAGGCACATACATACACACACAGGCACACACATACACACACACAGGCACACACATACACACACACATACACACACACACACACAGGCACACACATACACACACATGGGCACATACATACACACACAGGCACATACATACACACACACAGGCACACACACACACACAGGTACATACATACACACAGGCACATACATACACACACACAGGCACACACATACACACAGGTAGACACACACACACACACACACACACACACATAGGCATACACATACATACCACACAGGTACACTCACAGACACACACACGCAGGCCTGCGCACACACAGGCACACACAAACAAACCTCCTCCCACCGCACGCTCACTGCTACAGCAGACGGAAGACAGTGACAGCAACTGCAGAATCAGATAAAGAATTCAAACCAGTTAGTTAACAAGGTTACCTGGTTAATTAGTTAACAGCAGCTGTGAGATGTTTTATGTATAATTTTATCTGGACGCAAGGCCTATACTGGGAAGCAATGAAGCTGCTGGACTGTGGTTGTGTCAGGGCAGCAGTGACACTCACTTACTGATTTCCATAACCTATTGCTTACGTTTCTCTTGCAGATCAAAACAAAGCACTTGCATTGTCAAAGTGCCTTGAAGTGGTGAAAAGTTTTGAAGCGCTTCACAGGAAATTACTGTTTTTGTCGGTGAATATGGCAGCCAATTTGGGTCAGTAAAGATTCTACCAAACAGCCAGGAAGTGAATGACCAATTAACCTTGGCGGGTCGTTGGAGATCAGTATTGAATCAATAATAACGCACAGAATGTAAGGTTACATTTCTCAACTATAGTCTTGTTTGGAGTTAGAAATGCAAACGCTGCTCACAGTAACTGAACCTCTCCCCCCCCCACCCTCCGCAGCTCTGTAATGCCTCACTTCCACATGAAGTTCCCTCCAGCAACGAAGGGAAGGAATTTGCCAATCTAGCGTTGGCAGATCAGGTCAGGCAACCACGAACAATCAACTCATCGTCTCCAGTGACAGTTAAAGGAACTCCCGAGCTCACAGTGAAACTCAGAACAGCAGTGTGTCCACCCAACGTTGCTGCTGCTGGACAATCAGATGAAATAACAAAGACCAATTTCAGGAATGACCCTAGTTTCAAAAACTACTGGCCTCAACCCCCCCCGCCCCACCTCCCTTCGCCCCTCTGCGTTCCTCTCAATCCAGCAGTTGGGTGCAAAGAGTGGGAAGCTGTGAGGAGAGTACGCAGGTCACGACGTCCAGTGTAGGGAGCTGTGCCTTCACGCTGCGGGATCGACTGGGCAAAGGAGAGACTTACCCGCTCGCGAAGCTTTCTGGGGCTTTGAACTAAAATAGCAAAGTACGAAGCAGAGTGATGTCCTCTCGTCTGGCACTGGGTGAGCGGAATGATTGAGACAACGGGGCTTTACCTCTCTACTCTTTGAGCTGCTGAAGTCATCAGCCTCCTTTGGTACTTAGTCAAAGGACGAAAGCCCTGATCACTGTGAGGGGTTAAACATCACCCTGGGAAACCAGTTAGGGTATTGCACGAGATAAACACACCAGGTCATAAACAGCAGTTCGCGGAGAGAAGAAAACAAATCGATGTGACGAGCACTAAACAAAAACACAAAAACACAACAACAAAGCTGGAATCTCTCATTTGGAAAAAGCTGTGTGTAGCCTCCCTGCAGGCTGGCACAGACAAGGTATCACCGTGAGCTGCTGAGTTAAAGATTCCTTCTCGCCATCAGTCTCCCCACCCACCCTTTTAAAGAACGGATGGCCGAACATGCTGCAGACCCTTTACACCAACAATACATTGGTTCAGTAGGAAACCTCCACAGACTAGAGAAGTTAAAAATTGTATTGCACAATTGCCCTTTCTTTCCCCCCCCCCCCCTCATCTTTGCCCTATATAAAGAGACCAATAAAAGGGTTAAGCGCACACTGACAAGTGGTCAGATTATGTACTGCTGGATCCTGGGTGACCATCAACAGACGTGGGCGTGTGTGAAGCTAAGATTCTTCCAGCGAGAACCTGCGCAAATCAGAACTGTTTACCTGACCTCGAGGAGAAAAATAAATTATCAACATTGGTGGGAAATCTCCCGATTGGATCAAACGGTAACAGAAATGAACGAAGGCTAAATCCACAGTGACAAGCCACGTCTGCCCATCAGCCTGGTGATCAGTCAGTCACAGTCACAAAGGGTTAGGGCAGGGAGCCCTTCCCTCACTGTACAGTGAAGCCCCGCTGGAGTTGCTCTCTCTCTCTCTGCACCAGGTCACCGCTGGCAGTGAACGCTGGCCTCTCGCTGTCCTAATGCTATTTAAATATTTCCAAAAGGGAAGAGCTGGTGTCATAGGACAATGCAACACTTGCAGAATCTCTGGCGGCTTCCGCCCACTGATGGTGGAGGGGTCACAGGAGCAAAGTAAGCGTGAACCTTAATGTTGGGTAAATGAGTCTGAAACAAAGAAGCAGAGAGAGAGAGGAAAGAAAGGGTCGGTGAGAAACGCTGTTAATTTAAACTTTCAAATACAATCTTATTAATGATTAAAATAATACTTGCATTTGACACAGCGCTTTATCATGTCATCGAGACGTCTCAAAACACTTCACAGGATTTTACCGTAAAGTGTAGTGACTGCGTGTTTGAGGGTGAACACAGCAGTCAATTTGTACGCAGCAATGTCCCGCAAACAGCCATGAAATGAATGACTATTTTTTTCAGGGATTGTTGGCCAGGACACTGGAAGAAAGAAACTCCCTTCTCTTTCGAGCAATGCTGAAAGGTGCTCAGTTTCACACATCTTTCATCTGTGCTGCTCTGTAACATCCATCAGATGGGCTCAGATGGGTCCCTGTCACACTAAACATAGCCAGTCTTCATGCGTGCGGCTAGATCGCGAGCAACGGCAGCTTATTCCATTGCAGAGTAAGTCACAGCCGAGGCTGACACTGTCATCACTCTCTCTCGCTGTTCAAAGGGACCAATGAAGAGAGACTTACTTATCCTCTCTTTAACTTGGGCCGATGCTGAGGCCGAGCTCAGCAGAGGGTCAGAAATTAAACCTGGAGCTTTCCTGGGCACAAAACAGGCTATTTAACCATTGGGCCATCTAGACAGCAGCCCACACCAACCTCGCTGTGTGTTTGGCTGGAAAACAGGAAGGAGACTACGGCAATGTGCCAGAGTTGAGGGCATCAAACCAAATGTGGTCATTTTGCATTGTCGTGAATAAAGGTCTGCCGGCCTGAGGTGAGGCCAAACAATAAGGTGTGAATTGCTGGCTCGATGGGGATACAGCCAGCAGTCATAATATACAGCACAACATTACAGCTTTACATTTATACAGAACCTTTCACCTTGGGAGGATGTCCCAAGGCACTGTACTATCACGGGCTTGGCATAGCTCCGAGATGCTGTCAGATGCTGAGGGTGCTATATAATTGCAAGTTGTTGTTAGCACAGAGTGTGACGTTAGCAGAGCTCAGACTGGATCTCTTACCCGGAGTCTCTTGATCCCAGCCCGCGTGATCTGCTGACAGTCGTACAGTTCGATCCTCTCCAGGCTGTGACAGCTCTTTAGATGTTCGAGGGAAGCGTCTGTGATCAGCGGGCAGTTATCCAACTCAATTACCTCTAACCTGTCGTGGGCACAGGCCCCATTTCCGAGATGACGGATCCCATCGTCTGTGATTAACTCACAGTGCGACAAACTCTGGGGGACAGGGAATTAGCAACGTCACTTGGAACTCAGGCCATTTATTCAAACCGCTATTAAACAGCCCCTCTACATGTGGCTACATTCAGACATTTCAATGCCCAAACAGTGGTTTCAATTCCAACAAACGAAACTGAACCCCCCCAAAAATTTTGCGTCTTTTATTCTGAAAGCACTTCACAGGATTTTACTATAAGTGTAGTGACCTCAGTTTAATGTCTCATCTGAAAAACAGAATCTCCGGCCTGCTCCATGTCTCCCGCCCGACCATCGGTGGCTGGGCTTTTAGCCTCCCTGCTCCCACCCTAGGGAACTCCATCCCACAATCCCTTTGCCTCGTCCAAGGCACGACTCAAGAACCTCCTTTTCGACCGTGCCTTCAGCTGCCCTCCTATCCCCTCTGCCCTCCCTCATCCCAACCCTGAAACCCCACGCTCGAGTCCTGATCCCTAACTGTTCAGCACCTTAGGACGTCCTCCCGACGTGAAAGGCGCTTTACTAATGTAATTTTGTTGTTGTAGGTCGATCACCCAGTTGTATTATAAGTGAGGCACCACTATAATAAAATGTTACAACAGGTTCCCCCTGTGTACACCTCCTCCCCATATTACGGGGCCAGTGAACTGTAAACCAAGGACAGGGTTCACCTGCTGTGTTGCTGGTTTCCAGCGGTTTACTCACCAGCACTTGAAGCCGAGGGCAATAGATGGAGAGCTGGATCAGCGTATTGTCCGTGATCTACAAGAGGAAAGCAAAACTGAATTAAATGACGGCAGAAGCATGGGAGAAAAGCATGGCTTGACCAATCTGACAGAGGCAAGATATAATAATAATAATCCTCGCATTTGATACAGCCTGTTTCACATCAGGACACCTCAATATGCTTCACAGGATACACTGCAAAATGTGTAATTCTCCATGCATTCTTCGCTAAGGCCATCTGCAGGTCAAATCAATCCTGAGCTCGTTTTCCACCACACATCATCTCCTCCACGCAGCCCCCTCAAGCACCCTCGATCCTCACTTGAGACTCCAACTGCAAAGAGGTCTTGGACTTCTTTGTATCCAAAATTGACAACATCTGCTTGGCTCTTCTTGGTGCTATATAAGTTCAAGTTGTTGTGTATTTTTGGACAAACACGGCAGCTAATTGTGCACAGCAAAGTCCCACAAACAGCCATCTGGAGTTGTGTAGCTCAGTGGTTAGAGCATTCGCCTTGCAAGCAAGAAATCTGGGTTTGATTCCCGGGCATGACAAAACACTGGGCAAGTTTCCTTACTCCACATACCGCTGTTTACCTAAGCAGTAAGCAGGAACCCGGTTGTTAGTCGATTGGCGGTTCGCTTTTCTGGAGGTAATAATTCCTTCAAAAAAAATAATAAATTGGTCACTCAATTCACAACTGTTTGTGGGACACTGCTGTGTGTAATTGGCTGCTGTGTTTCACCCACAAAATATACAGTCAATTCACTTTACAGTATAAACCAAACACAAAATACTGCAGATGCTGGAAATCTGATGAATTTGTCTGTTCTGACGAAGGATCGTGGACCCGAAACATTGACTAACTTTCTCCATAGATGCTGCTTGACCAGCTGTGTGTTCCCAGCGACTTCTGTTTGTGGTTCGCTTTACAGTATATTCTGAAGCGCTTTGAGACGTCTCAAAGACGTGATAAGGCACTATATCAAATGCAAGAATTATTTTTATTATTATTTATTAAGTGATTGACTGATTTTATCTAGGGGATTGTCAGCCAGGACATGTGGAGAAACTCCCTTCCCTTTTCCAATAGTCCAGCAAGATCTTAGCGTCTTTAACAAACACAGACAGGATCCTGGTTTAAAGCCTTTTCCGATGGATAGCGTCCCCCAGCTCTGCACCAGGGGGAGCTTCCGTCAGCCTAGACTGTGAGCTCATGGGACTCGAGCCCACAACCTTCTAACTCAGAAGAAAAAATGTGCACATGAGCCCGACTGAGACATAAGCTTTTAAAACAAGATAGAATTTCAATATACATTTGCCACCATTTTGAACGTGATGTTGTTTAGGGGTGGGGCTATCCTGGAGTCATTTTACAGCAAACAATTACAAAGGTTAATTTAAATGTATTTCCCTAAAAAGAGCAGTGAAAGGCAAAACGTGTTTTTTTTTTAAACCCGCTTCTGCACTTGGCAAGGTTCACATACTCTGAAAAGGAAGTCCATGTCTGGGTTGTTTAGCTTTATACATTTTAAACACCTTCATAAAAAGACGGTTCTCAGCAATGCTGCCAAACTAGAAGAAAAATGTCTGACTTTGAGATCGTTCGGTCACCACCGATGCCACTTCTTGTTTGCCGAGCAAAGCAGGAAGTCATGTCGACCTAACAATCTGGAAATCGGCCATTTTAGAGCAAAAACACGGGAAGCGAGCAGGGCAGAGGCACAGAGAATGGAATCCACACTGAGGGAAGGGTGGCTGAGGCCAGGAGACTGGACTCACTTAACAACTTGATGCTCTCACGGAAAGGAAGCAGAGTGACTATTCTAGAAAGATGAGATGAAATGGAGCAAAGGGACTTCTTCATCAGAACCTCTGGAATCTTATGAAAAGTGACCTTCAGGTGGGATATCAGTTAAGGTTTTTGCTGAAAATAAAACTGCTGCGAACTCAGGGAATCTTAGTCATTTTACACTTTGGGGAAAACACTGCATATAAACATTCGCAATCATTCAGTCACCTGAACACACTCTTCCAGGTCCATCTTCTCAAGCTCATGACAATTCTGCAAATTAAAACAAGAGAACTTTTAAATTAAAAATGAAATATACTTGTCCCCTCACATTTTCCTCTTGCCCACACTCACGCGCACACAGACACACACACACACACACACACACACAAGTGCTGCCCATACGCACACACAGACACACAGAGAGGCACAGACCAAAACCTGGTTGTCGCTGAATACATTCAAGTTGCTAACATTAGACACGTGCACAGATTTATAGCTTTTTTAACAAAAACAATATGGTAGTTGTGATCTTGGATGGAGTAACTCACATTGCTTGAGAACAGCTCTCAATCATTCCCCACCTGTGTGTAACCCAACAGCAATTTAATGTGCAAGGCTTTACCCACCCCCAGTGCACTTACCCGAGCTAACGTGGTAAACCCCACATCTGTTAACTGTGAACATCTTGCAATCTCTAATATTCTGAAGGGAAAAAAAAGATCAAAACTAGAACCTGATAAAGAAATACCAGCGGCAAGCTCAGTATTTTAGCCTTTCTGGCCAATCACGTGCGAATCCCGTGACACAGACTTTAACTTTGGGTCAAACTCCAGTAAACCAGAACTCTGCGCGCTGTCAATCAGCTTTCGAACATCTAAAGATGCAGATCAAACCAACCCATACACCAAAGGCTTTGCCTCTCTGCCAAAGCTGCCCTACACAGCGCAGTTCCCCAAATCCACGGTCATTCCGTGATGTGCAAATGGTTAATAAGGGAAGGGACTGCCTCGATCACTCAAAAGGCAAAGCAAAATGTCACTAGTGTACGAAGGGCACAGGAAGGTCTCCGCTGATTATACATGCACTGGTAGCAGCTGTCAACCCATACCTACCTAAGTCGCACGCAGTTCTGTCCTAACGCATTCAGAATAGCATCGGTGATGTTACTGCAGCCAGACACGCAGAGAGACTGGAATTTGTGACATCCCCTACAAATGGTAATCAGCCCCTCGTCTGTGATTTGCTGCAAAAAGAACAGAGGAAGAATTAAGAGTTTTGCCTTTCAGAGAGAGTTACTGATGATTACACCATGGTCTGCGCTTACCACCCAGCCCCTCGATCTCCCACTCCCCCAAGCCATCAACCCTCACCGCCCAGCTCAAGACACGCATCAGCAAAGGTCTCATAAAAAGAATGATGAGAATCAAAAGCAGTTGGGGAAAAGTAACACAAGTTGAAAGGTTGAATGTTTCCAGCTAGTTGTGATTTGAACACTAGGGGGAGACCTGCAACGTCAGGGTTTTTGTCTTCTGGACGTGATGTTCAGTTTTGCCCATTTTCAGGAAGGTGGATGTTGAAGACCCCACAATGCTATTTGAAGAGTTTTACTCGGTGTCCTGCCTGATTATCCTCTAGATTAATGGGTCATTTACCTCATAGCTGTTTGTGGGGCCTGACTGGCAAACGGCAGCACAATACAAATTGGGAAACACTTCGGGAAGTCCTCCCGACATGAAAGGGTCTCAATGTCTCCTCGCCCCCTCCCCCCCATGAATATGATAAATACGATCAGTTGCACTCACAGAGCAGGTCTGTAGATTCAAGGTAACCAGTTCAGGACAATGAGCACCAATGTATTTCAGAGCTTCATCCTCCAGCTGTAATTAACAGGTTAAAAACAAACAATCATTTGAAGTCCTGCCACCAGATAGTACTATCTTCAGTGTAGTGCAGCTGTGTCCATTCGACCCAAGCTTCCGTGCCTTGACTGAGACTGCCTCTGGTAGTGCAATGAGACACCAAACACAGTAAAGACGGTAACAGATGGTGTGGTCCCAACTGTCCCCCCCACCCCCAACCCAGAGTTTTGGATAATCTGCAGCCTATGGAGGGAGGAGTTGGGGAGGCCGACAAGCAGGGAGTTTCCATAGTCCATGGATGTTATGAGGGTTTCGGTAGCCTGCGGTGTGAGAAAGTGGCGGAGCCGGGCAATGTTGCCAAGTGAGGGGAAGGCAGAGAGGGTCATGGCACGGATGATGTGGGTAGAAAGGATAGCTGAGAGTCAAACAAGTTGCCAAGATTCCAGACTGGCTCAGTGAGGTGGAGTGAGCAACCATGGATGGTGATGATGTCAGCGCCTGAGGTGTGGAGGCACTGATGAGAGCCAATCAGGAGAGCTTCAGTCTTGTTGACGTTCAACTGAAAAAAGTTAGCTCTCATCCAGGACTTGATGTCTGACAGTGGTCCAGGAGTCAAGGGTGAGACAGAGAGATAGAGTTGGGTGTCATCAGCATACATGTAGAAGTTGACCCAATGTCTGCAGATGATGTCACCAAGAGGGCGCATATAGATATTGAAGACGAGGGGACCAAGGACAGAGCCCTGAGGAACACCGCACGAGACAGTACGGGGGCTAGAGAAGAAGCTGTTTGTGGAGATGAAGTGGAGACGGTGTGAAACGTACAATCTGAACCAGTCAAGGACAGAACCGTGAAGGTTAAGGTGAGAGGAGAGGGGGTGGATGAGGATAGAGTGGTCAACGGTATCGAAGGCACCAGAGAGATCAAGGAGAATGAGGAGGCAGAGGAAGCTCCTCGCAGATGGACAAAATGTCATTTGTCACTTTGACCAAAGCTATTTCTGTGCTGTGGGCGGGACGGAAACCCGATTGGAGCGTTTCTTGAATTCAGAGGCGGGAGAGGAAGGAGTGAAGTTGGGAAGCAATAACTCATTCCAGGACCCTGGAAAGGAAAGTTGGAGATGGGGCGGTGGTTTGAGAGCAGGAATGGGGCCGGGGAAGGTTTGTTAGGGAAAGGAGTGATGACGGCTATTTTTAAAAGGGTGTGACAGGGAGAGATTTATGATGTCTGTGATTAGTGGGGGGCAAGGAATTGGAGCTGGGAGGTAAGGATAGGGATGTGGTCGAGGAAGCAGGTAGTCGGTTTCATGTGGGTTATGGTGACGGTGGGAGAGGACGGGAGAAAGATTCGAAGGAGGGATGGGTAGAGGCCGGGATGTGAGGGGGGGATGGGGAGGGGCTAGTAGTCAGAAGGGCAGAGGCAGCTGAGTGAATCCCTTCGACTTTGGTTTCGAGGAAGTCCTTGCAGTTTTGGCGTTGGAGGAGATGAAGTGCGAGGCATGAGAGGGTGGGCGGTGGAGTCAGTTGGTGATGGAGAAGAGGAGCCTGGGGTTGTCCTTGGCCTCCAAGATTGTCTTGGAATAGAACGACGATTTATAGGAGGTAAAGCTCAGGCTGGATTCCGCAAAGATAGGGAAAGATTTATAATAAAAACTTACATTGATGGTTACGTGACTAACACTGACGCTACAGAGAAAGCCTTAGCCATTAATCTTTAACACACCTATGCTCCCCACCAAATTCTACCATTATGAATAATAATAATCCTTGTATTTGATATATCAAATCAAAGTTACTAAGTTTGATCGCCATTTTTTAATCCTTTCATTGTAAAAGTTATTTGGATGTTAAAATTCTGACTGGGAATCACATCACCTCACGAGTAGCAGAAGAATTGCTGTACAGACCTGTGTGCATCCTTTAAGAAACAGAGTTTTTAATCCACCACAGCCTTTCACCAGCGCCTGAATCCCATCCTTTGTCACCTGATCGCACCAGGATATGTTCAGCTGTTCTAGCAGTGGACACCCCTCGCTGGGAGATAAATATACAAAAGACAGACAGGGGTAAGACATGGGACCTTCACACGCTGCGGTTTAATTGTTCCTCATAGCTCATTCCTCTAACACTGAGAGATCCTCCTTATTGCTTTCCTCTGCATTGCCAGCTCTTATATTGTTTCTGTATTATTATATTACTACTCTTATATTATTACTTATATTATTACTGAATTCAGTTCTGTCGTGGTGACCAGAACTGTATGCAGTAATAATAATCCTTGCATTTGATACAGCGCCTTATCATGTCATTGACACGTCTCAAACCCTTCACAGAATATATTGGAATCCTGCAATGTATTGGTTAGAGCATTCACTTTTTACAAGTGAAAGGACCCGAGTTCAATTCCCTGGCAGCGAAACCTGAACCAAGTTTCCTTACTCCACACGCCTCTGCACGCCTAGCAGCAAGTAGGAACCTGGTTGTTAGTCGATTGGTGGATCGCTTTCTGGGGTTAATAAACCCTCNAAAAAAAATGGTGTCACTCAATCCACAATTGTTTGTGGGACGCTGCTGTGCACAATTGGCTGCCACGTTTCACCCATAAAATATACAGTCAATTCTCTTTACAATATATTCTGTGAAGCTTTTGAGATATCTCAACATCGTGATAAGGTGCTATATCAAGTGCAATGATTATTGTTATTGTTGTAAACAATGTGGATTTTGTGGAGGAATATAGCAGCCAATTTGCACACAGCAATGTCCCAGAAACAGCCGTGGCATGAGTGACCAATTTTATTTGGGGGATGGTTGACAGCACACAAGGGGAAATTCCCTTCTCTTTTTAATTAATGCCATGGGATCTTTAACGTCCACCTGAACATGCAGACAGGTCCTCGATTTTATATCTCATCTGAAGGATGGATAAATTCGAGTACACAGTACTGTAGGTTCAACCTTCATCAGAGCACTATGTAGGCTGAATAAAACTGGCTGCACCAATCGTAGTAAAACCACAAATCAGTGAATTGAAGTTAATTTTGACAATATCCGTCACTCAAGACTGCCTAAAGTTACACGACGATATTTAATTTGAGTGAATGCTGTTCATATTTTTAAGATATTCTGACCATTTTCACTTAAAAATAAATCAGTGAGGGGATAGCTGTCTTGCTTATTTTGAAAAGGTCAGCTCACCAATTCGCTGACAGAGCTATACTAAAGGGTACAGCGATCAATGCAGCCCCAGAAGTGTGTGTGTGCGTCTGTAGGGGTGGGTGGGGGGGAGGCGAAGAAAGAGATCATTGAGGAGAAATTGAAGCATATTAGTTTGATAAAAGAACATTAGAAATAAAGAGTTACGTATGCCTGGCTTTCAGTGTGGTCCTAATGTTAGATTAATATTGCACTCAGAATCTGCTCCCTGATAAGGTCACTTGTGTTTTAATGCATCATGCTACTCATTAAATGGCAATTAATGAGGGGGAAAGAAGTGGGGGGGCGGAGAATCACAGATGAACCCAAACCAGCTCCCCCAATGTCTAAACACAGGCTTATTGGCTCAATGTTCAAGCAACAGTAACCTGGTTAGATTGTTCTCTTCTCCAGCCTAGGGACAGCTCCAGCCTGGGCTGGAATAGGCTGGCGCTAGAGATCAGAATCTCATTGAAGAGTATCAGGGAGCGAGAGGCTTTACTCTGTTTAATTGCTAACTATTTGGTCACCAACAACAATACAGTCATTACACTGTACAGTATATCCTGCGAAGCCCGTTCTATTGATGTGAAAGGCGCTGTATCAAATTTAAGAGGAAGATTAAGGGAGAGGCGAATAGAGGGTATGGAGGTGGGGATGGAAACTCATGTGAGTATAAACACCGGCATGGACTGGTTGGGCCGAGTGGCTTGTTCCCCTGTTGTACATTCTTTGTAAAATCACAGTCCGAGGCTCTGCATTGCTGGAGCTTACCTGAGAGCTTTCAAAGAAAGGTTTGTGATTGACGTACACGATGCCAAATCTAGACTTCTTAGCTTGGAGCAGAATTTACTTAGACTAGTACAGGTTCTGTAAAACAAGCACAAATAGAGAGATTAGTCTAATATCCTTATTCCTCCAATTAAGAGTCGAATCTGTTAGTAAAAGCGATTTCCCCAATAATATCCTGAGAACAAGCAGCACCAGATGAAACGTTCATTTCTCATTGGAGTCCTGTAGCTCAGTGGTTAGGGCACTCGTCTCGTAAGCGAGACCTGGGTTCGATTCCCAGCAGGACAAAACGTTGGGCAAGTTTTCTTGCTCCACACACCTGTTTACCTAGCAGTAAGTAGGAACCCAGTTGTTAATCGATTGGCAGATCGCTTTTCCAGGGGTAATAATTCCTTCAATAAAAAAAATAATAATAAATTGGTCACTCAATCCACACTGCAGTGCGCAATTGGCTGCAGGCTGGAAACCAAAGTTCTCTTCTGAAGCAAGTGTTTGCAGATTATAATTCACTTTAAACTAACCTTGCAACTCTTTCCACAACCTGGGGTACTTTCCTCAGTTGTACTCCATGACATCATTTCTAAACAGTTTCAAATAATAGAATTTGCAAACTCTTAGAGCATAAAGATATTTTTACTCTGTTTCCTTGACTTATAGTTAACATTAATATATGTTTTACACAAGCACACACATGCAAACACATATGTGGGCACAGTGAAAAACAGGTACTCATTAAAGTCAGAAAAAACACCCCACTATCTGACTGCATTGTGGTCCCGTGTTTTCAAGCATTTCTCAACCAGAACTTAGCGCAGTTGTTAAAACTGGTCAGAAATTCACATTTCTCGCTTTGACTAACCTTCAAAGCCCTCAATAGCCTGCTCCCCCCTACCTCTGTAACCTGCTAACCCCCTACCAACTTGCCCACTCCCTCCGCTCAGCAGGCTCTGGCTTGCTTCTCGTCCTCCGCCTCTCCCGCTCCACCATTAGCAGGCGGGCCTTCAGCCACTCTGCCCCCACCCTCTGGAACTCCATCCCACAGTCCCTCTGCCTCACCTCCTCCCTTGCCTCCTTCAAGACCCGTCTCAAGACCCTCCTCTTAGACCATGCATTTGATCACCCTCCTTCTCCCCCTGCCCTCCACTTTCCCCGATCCCGATCCCTAGCACAGGTCTGAAACACTGATTGTCCAGCGCCTTGGGACATCCTCCCGATGTGAAAGGCCCTACGCAAATGTGATTTTGTTGTTGTGCTGTTTGCTTCCCTTCACCATCAGCCGGCCAGTGGCCCCTCACACACAGGGAATGGGTACACTGCCACTCTGGTTTTAACGTGGTTACATTGACCACAGGTCATTTCTACAGAAAGCAGGACTCTCTAGCCGGAAGGCAGCACTTCGTAATATGTGGCTGTGCATTTACTTACGCGTCTGTGATTTTCGTGCACCCGTTCAGGTTTAACTGTTCAATATTCCTGCAGTTCTGAGCAAAGGTCCTAGGACATCGAAACAAGGGAGAGAAAGAGAGAACCGTTACATGCCAAATGGACTTGAGACAAGGTTACACTGGTACAAGGCGAGTACATTGGGACATTTACCTAGAACTTCACTTTCCCACCACGTGAGAGACTGCTAAAATTTCTCCCCCTCCTGTGTCCCATAAACAATAGTAGTCGCTTTCTGTGAAAATAGCACACACTCTTGGGATTCCAGACCCCACCCCCACCCCATCCCAGCCTGGTCTCTCACCAACCCGTGCCTAGTACTCTTCAGAATTAGCTAAGGAGGGTCTGTCTCTCCGAGGGCGAGAGTGGGTATTCCATTCCAGGTACAGGTAGATTTCCATGTGGCACATTCAGTCTGGTGTGGATACCCCTAAGCACGGTCCTGGGTTTCTGCATGTCAGACACACGCTGACCAGAGCAATCCCTGAGGGGGATTTCCTCTACTTACCCTCTTCAGCTTCCATCCCTGCTCCACCCCCCCACCCTGGCTCAAGTACCCAGCTAGCAGTATGACACAATCGATACATCCTAATGATGTGAAGGGGCCTGTATAAATGTAAATCATATGTCATTGTATCATGTGCACCCTAGCATGGCTGGATTCCGATAGCCTTTGACATCATTGAAGGCAGGCATCATATGCACGTTAGACTTACTCTAATGGTTAATGTTTAAGCTGCCTGGGACACGCCGTGTGCAGAGTAAGTGACAAGTAACTGCAATTGGCTGTTATTTTTATTTTCCACCATTACATTCCTGGGCTGTGGATTTTAGCACCAATGACCATCAATAAATTAGTGTCAATCACACTGTGAAGATATGACACACCTTCTCACTTGCTGCCATTTTGCACCAATCCATCTTCGCATTTGCTGTTTACTCACCCAAATACGCAGTATCTGTGAAGCGCTTTGGGATGTCCCCCCGATATGAAAGGCGCTACACCCAATGCAAGGATTATTATTATTAATCTACTGAACCCCAGATCTGCTGAACCTCTTCAGAGCTGACCTTCCACTCTGAAACCAATGGCCCAGTTACACTGAAGTTTTGATGAAATAATAAAAAGAGGAATCTCCTCATTTGATACTGTGTTTTTCACATCAGGATGACATCTCAAAGAGCTTCACAGGATACACTACAAAGTGCAGTGACGCACAGCTACGTCCCACAACAGCCATGAAGTGAGTGACCGATTCGCTCAATATCAATGCCAATTGTTGCCATGCCACTCCCCGTTCACTTCCACTAAATGCCAGAGTAACTGACTCTTACCTTAATGAGTTGTCTCCTACACCCAGGCAGCCTCGCAGGCTTAGCTTCCGTAAAAACCCACCGCAGCGTTTGGAAATATTCTCCACCACTCTGCCCTGCATCAACCCAAGAAAGAAAGAAACAAAGGTTTCAGAATAAGCAGTTTGGGGAATCTTTCCAACACCTTTTGGATAACGCCCAGGTACAGATCAGGATAGACTATCTTACACCGTTCAAACAAAATCACTTCATTACTTCAACTGCATTTAGATCAACCTGTTCACGTCGGGAAGATCCTTTGATCATGGCAAAAAAATGTAATTTTCTTAATAATAATAATCCTGGCCTTTGATATAGCGTCTTATTACATAATTGAAACATCTTAAAGTGCTTCACAGAATATATTGTGAAGTGGATTACGACTCGGGTCCAAATCCCTGACTGTCCAGTACCTTGGGCCGTCCTGCCGATGTGAAAGGCACTATACAAGGGTAATTTGTTATTGTTGGATTGACTGTGTATTTCGTAGGCGAAATATGACCAAAGGATCCTCCGATATGAAAGGCACAATCTAAATGCACGCCAGCGCCTTGGGACATCCCTCCGATGTGAAAGGTGCTATACAAATATAACTATTGTTGTTGTTGTATCAAATGAATAACTCAATGGAGGAAACCAATGACCATTTTTATTTATTTGGGGATTTGTGAGACAGGAAACGAGATCTATAACATTCACCTGAACAGGGCAGAGGGTCGTTCAGTTTAACGCCTCATCCGAAGTTTGGTGCCTCCAACAATGCAGCGCTCCCCACTGCACTGAATGTCAGCTTAGCTACGAGCTCAAAGTCACGATGTGCGGCTTGAACTCAGAACTTTCTGATTCAGGGGCAAGAGTGCAATCAACTGGAGCCAGTCTGAATACCCTCCATGTAAAGAAATACATGGCATCCAATCTAAAATTGTCCTTCAGAATCTTGAACCTGAAACCTCTCAAAAAGCTCTAACAAGTTTCCTTCAATAATCTCCCCTCTCACACTCCTCTCTCATTCGGTTGGGCACAGTTCCATGAGCAGAGTTCCTTTGGTATCTTGCCCTTGTCAAAGTAACCATTACTCACGTGTGAACCTTGAGTGTGAATGTTGGCATGGCTACTCAACCAAACATAGCATGGTCTCCATGTCCACACCCACTCACCTTCCAGCAGAGGATCGCTGGATTGTGATGAGGAATGAACAGTCCAGCTTGCACCCTCACTTCCTAACTCAAGGTCAATAACACCCCAAACACCACCCAGGCTGACCTCAGCGAACTATCTCAGTCCATTGTAGCCATTCTCACCAGCAACTTCTGGCATACAAGTCATCCCTTTCACTCGAGAAGCCACCGGGAAAACATATGTTAAAGGGAGAAAAATAAAATTGTGCATCATGAAATTCCAGTACTTAAACGGTTAAATACTTTGCAAACTGGAATGTTAGATATGCCAATCCTCTGCCAGTCCAGTCCTAGGATTAGTTAAACAGTCAGCAACATGGATCAATTGTAAATGTCTGGCAGAAATGTCTGGCAGCGCGGACTTCAGCCCTGGTTAAATGGTCTCCACAATAACAATCTGCTGTAATTAAGCCGTGGCACCAGCCTAACTTTATAACTAGTGAAAGAATGAGCTTTAAAATAAAACTGACAGATCTATTCTGTCAGCTCAAACCCTCCAGTTACTGCAGATCAGGCAGAGAGAATGTAGCCAACTAGGGTAAACCAACAATCTTGGCTTACGTGTGACCATAATTTTCCACAAGAACGCAATCGTTTTTTTCAAAACAATCAGCAATCCTCCAAATATTTGGGATTCCCAACTTTCTTTTTAAGCCACGTTACAACTACATTATCCAGGTCACACAAGGTTACTCAACAGGCAGACAACTGTCACACTCTGTCAGCGGCAACATGGAGGCCTAGTTTACTCTCTCTGTGGGAAAGCACCTGGAACCTGCTCACTGCTTACTCACTCTAGAGGAGGTTCGCCCTCAAAACACAGTCAACCCACTTTACCATATATTCTGTGAAGCGCTTTGCGACAACTCAATGACGTGATAAAGCACGCCACCAAAGGCAAGGATTATTATTATTATTATCATCCAAGGACGTAGAGATGTGTGGTACAGCATATTATTCTTATCAAAACTGTGAGGTCCTATAGCTCAGTGGTTAGAGGACTCGCCTCGCAAGCGAGAAACCTGGGTTCAATTCCCGGCAAGACGAAACGCTGGGCAAGTTTCCTTACTCCACACGCCGCTGTTTACCGAGCAGAAGTAGGAACCCAGTTTTTAGTTGATTGGTGGATCATTTTTCCGGGGTTAATAATTCCTTAAAAAAAAATTGGTCACTTAATCCACGAATGTTTGTGGGACACTGCTGTGCATAACTGACTACCTTGTTTTGCATATAAAATATACAGTCAATTCACTTTACAGTATATTCTCTGAAGTGCTTTGAAACGTCTCGAAGATGTGATAAGGCGCTATATCAAAATGCAAGGATTATTAGGGTTGATTTCAAGTTCCAACCCTCACACGCAAATCTTACAATAGCTTGTTCGGGATCAGAGGTTGATCTCTGAAAGAACGGTACGTGGCAGAGAAAAAGAGGAAGAAACTCCAGAGAAATGGACAACTTGTCAACTCTGGCATCAGGGTTTACAGGCCAGTCAGGTTGGCCAAAGTGTTCCCTACATTGCTTGTCTGTTGCCGTATAACACATCAATAAACCAGGAGCAGAATGCTTATAGAATAATATTATGGGGCCACAAAAGGAAGCAATATAATACGACAACATTTTACTTTTTGAAGTGATCAGCGCTAATGATATTCCCTGTGGGACCACTACACTGAGCTGAACATTTCCCATGATACTGATAAAATGTTTACACAATGAATGTCTGTCCAGCAAGACCATCTCATCCAAAAGAGTTCTGGAGTAGAAAACAGCTAGCCTATACTGGTGTTAAAATATCTTATGGCCCTATTTGTGAATATAAGGGCTAAAACAATAATAATAATTCTAGCATTTGATATAGCACCTTATCACATCGTTGAGACGTCTCAATGTGCTTCATAAGATATCATAGCATCACAGAATTTTACAGCACAGAAGGAGGTCATTCGGTTCATTGTGCCTGTGCCGGTTCTTTGAATGACCTACCAACTAGTTCAACTCCCCTGCTCTTACCCATAGCCCTGAAAATTCTTCCTTTTTAAGTACCTATCTAATTCCCTTTTGAAAGCCATTATCAAATCTGCTTTTTCACTACCCTTTCAGGCAGTGCATTTTAGACCTTCATAACGCTGGGTNAAAAATATTCTCCTAGCCTCCCCTCTGGTTCTTTGGCCAATTAACTTAAATCTGCGTCCTGTAGTTACCAACCCACCAGCCAGAGGAAACAATTTTTTCCCTATCTACGCTATCAAAATCCCTCATAACTTTGAACAGCTTTATTAAATCTCCCCTCAACCTTCTCTGCTCTAAGGAGAATACTTCCAGCCTTTCTAGTCTCCCCACATAATTGTAGTCCCTCATTCCTGTTATCATTCTGGTAAATCTCCTCTGCACCCTCTCCAAGGCCCTGACATCCTTCGTCAAGTGTGGTGCCCAGAATTGGACACGATAGGCTAGCTAAAACCTAACCAGTGATTTGTAAATGTTCAACATAGCTTGCTTCTTTATGCCTCTATTTATAAAACCAAGGATCCTACATTCTCTTTATAACTGCTTTGTCAACTTGCCCTGCCACCTTCAATGATTTGTGTATGTGAGCCCCCAGGTCTCTCTGTTCCTGCACCTCCTTTAAAACTGTACCATTTACTGTATATTGCCTCTCCTCATCGCTCCTCCCAAAATGCATCACCTCACACTTTTCTGCATTAAATTCCATCTTCCATATGTCTGCCCATTTCACCAACCTGTCTATGTCCTCCGGCAGTCTGCTACTATCCACCTCACTGTTTACTACATTTCCAAATTTTGTGTCACCTGGGAGCTTTAAAATTCTGCTCTCTCAAGTCCAGGTCATTAATATATATTAAAAAGAGCAGTGGTCCTGTTACCGAGCCTTGGGGAACACCACTGCATACCTCCCTCAAGTCTGAAACCAACAACAAAATTACATTTGTATAGCGCCTTTCACGTCGGGTGCTCCTAAGGCGCTGGACAGTCAAGAGTTTCAGACACGAGCTGGGGGTCGGGATTGGGGAGGGTGGAGGGCAGTGGGGGAAGCAGGGTGATCGAAAGCACAGTCGAAGAGGAGGGTCTTGAGATGCGTCTTGAAGGAGGCGAGGGAGGGGGCAAGGCGGAGGGACTGCGGGATGGAGTTCCAGAGGATGGGGTCAGAGTCGCGGAAGGCCCGCGGCTGGAGCCCGCTGAGCGGAGGGAGCGGGCAGGAAAATAGGCGGTTAGGAAGTTGCAGAGGTAGGGGAGAGAAAGACCATGGAGGATCTTGAACTGTATCCTCTGTGTGATGGGAAGCCAGTGGGGTCGGCCGAGGATGGGGGTGATAGAGTCACGGAGCTTGGTGCGGGAGAGGAACAGTACCAGTGGACTGGGAGAGGTTTATGATGTCTGGGAGGTAAGGAGAGGGGTAGGGATGGGGTCGAGGGAGCAGGTGGTCGGTTTCATGCGGATCTATAGTGGTGGTGAGAGAGGAGGGGGATACAGGTTTGAAGGTGTGGAGGGAGGGATGGGTAGGGGCCAGGGTTGGAGGAGGATATGTCATTGTAGCAGGAAGCCGAGAAGGGAAGAAGTTCCGATGACTCCAAGGCAGCCGGGTGGGATGGGGGGGGTGGGGGAAGATTTTTTCCAGGGGTGGTAGGAGATGAAGGTGGGTTGCATGGCAGTGAGGAGAGGGACTGAGGAGTTAAGGGAGATGAAGTGAAGGTCCAAGATCACTTTGTCAATGATGATGAGGTCCAAGACGGTGAGGCCCTGAGTGATCACCAGGTCGAGGGGATGACCGCGGACGTGGGTGGCGGAGTGAACGTGGACGGAGAAGTTGAGGGAGGAGATAAGGAAGGAGAAATCAGCAGAGGCAGAGCAGGAGGGGGTGAAGTGAAGGTTGAAGTCGCCAAGGATGAGGAAGTGTTCGGAGCAGAGGGAGAGGGAACATAGGAGGGTGGAGATGTCGGGGATGAAGGTAGGGGAGGGCTTGGGGGAGGTGATAGATAAGGAGAACTTTGAGGGAAAGGTTGGAGGGGTGATAAAGGATAAGGTGCTCAAAGGAGGAAAAGGTTCCAGAGGAGTAAGAGGATAGGCCGAGCGGGGACTGGGAGATGATAGCCACCACGGTGGTTGGGTCGAGGGGTATGATGGAAGGTGTAGCCAGGTGGTGTGGTTTCTATCAGGGGGAAGATGTCATTGAGGGCGAGAAAGTCGATGTTTTGTCAACAATGAGGTCTTGGATGGTGAGTGTTTTACTGGAGAGGGAGCGGACTTTTGTAGGCCGATACAGAGGTGATAGTTGGTGATGGAATGTGGGAGGCGAAGGGGAGGACTGACAGGGAAGGTGGGTATGTGGATGAGGAAGGAGACGTCGGCCCCCGAGGTCAGGAACAATGGGCCTTGCGGTCTCTGGATGAAAAAACAACCATTCACCACTACCCTCTGCTTTCGGTCTTCCAGTCAATATCGGATCCATGCTGCCACTGTTTCCTTAATTCCATGGACTTTTGCTTACAAGTCTATTATGTGGCACTTTATCAAGCGCCTTTTTAAAATCCATATATACTACATCAACTGCACTAGCTTCATCAACCCTCTCCGTTACTTCATCCAAGAACTCAATCAAGTTAATTTTGCCTTTAACAAATCGGTGTTGGCTGTCCTTTATTAACCCATGTATTTCCAAGTGATAATTAATGTTGTCCTGGACAATGGTCTCTAGAAGTTTCCCTATCACCGACGTTAGGCTGACTGGTCTGTAGTTATTAGGCTTATCTCTCTTCCCATATTTCTACAGGGGAGTAACATTTGCAACCCTCCAGTCTTCTGGCACCAAGGAGGATTGAAAGATTGTGGCCAGAGCCTCCGCTATTTCCATCCTTACTTCCCTCAGCAATCTCAGATGCATCCCATCTGGACGGGGTGACTTTTCTACTTTGAGCGCTGCTAATCTTTTCAGTACCTTCTCACTATCTATTTTATCTTATCCAATTTCTCTACCCTTCCTCCTTTACTCTTATTTTGTTAAGACAAGATGCAAGATACTCATTCAAAGTACCTCAGCCTTGACCTCTGCCTGCACAGAAGCTTTCCATTTTGGTCCTGAATCGGCCCCACCCTATCTTTAACCATCCTTTTATTCCTAATGTGGTTATAAAAGACTTTAGAGTTTTCCCTTTTTTGTTACCCGCTAACCTTTTCTAATATGCTCTCTTTGCTTCTCTTATTCTCTTTTTCAGTTCTCCTCTGCACTTTCTGTATTCTACTTGATTCTCTACTGTGTTACGAATCTGACATTTATCATAAACCTGCTTTTTGTGTTTCATTTTAATCCCAGTTTCTTTAGTCATCCAAGGAACACTAGCATTGGATGCCCTACCTTTTCCCTCATGGGAATGTGTTTCATCTGTACCCGAACTTGTGGGCGAAATGTCGCAGCCAGCTCGCACAGCAATGTCCCACAAACAGCCATGGAGTGAGTGACCAATTTTATTTTGGGGATTTTGGGGCCAGACACCGGGAGAAACTCCCTTCTTTTTTCAAATAGTACCATGGCAGACAGGACCTTAGTTTAATGTCTGATCTGAAGGACAGCACCTCCGACAATGCATCACCCCACCCCCAGCATTGCATTGGAGTGTCAGCTTAGAATATGTGATTCCAAGTCCCTCCCTAAGTGGGGCTTGAATCTCCAATCTTCTGACTCACAGAGTGACCACAGCGCCAGGCTTAATAATAAAAAATAATAATTTTTATGGTGCCATCAATTTCAAACACTGTTCCACTGTCTCCTGTGTTGTTGAGGAGCTCACTGAGCCCTTTGCTCACACTAGGAAGGAGCTCTTTGCCACTATCTAACGAGTGGCTTACAAAGCGTTTTAACAATCGCATCACTTTATTGTAGCCCCCTCACCACCTCCTCTGAACGCTGGATGTGTAGCTGACAATGTTAAAACAGAAAGCTGCCACACATTCCTGCTGAGCTGCCAGCAATTGGCTGCCATACACCTCCCAGACACCAAAAAACTCAGAATGCACCAAATGCCTTTTACACTCGCCCAGAATATGTAAACCATTCTGCAAAAAAAACATGAGCTGTACTGAAAGCTGTATCCTTTGTAACATTGCCTGGACACACGACAGAAAGGAAGGAGTAAACCACTGGACTTTTTTGTGTGAAGGATACAGTTCCTATTAACTTTGTCAAACGCAGTCATTTCCTTCCTTGATTCAATTCTGTGTGCTTATATTTATTATTCTAACTTATTTTAGGAAGGGGGAAGAGCTGGGAAAAAGGCAGTCTGAAACGCTTTTTAAATCGAGCTTAAGATATCCAGAATTGTAACCTTATTTTTAATATTAAGCACTGTTGGTAAAGCATGTGATATTCTAAAAACATCTATGTTTAAAAAATAAATAGCCTCTAATAGCAACCCTTTTTCTTCTGCTAAAGGAAATGTAAATCAGAATTATCAATAAGTTTGCTGTTTCAGGCTCCAAGACAGTGTGAATGCTGACATCAAAATAGTAATCCTTGCATTGCTATTGTGCCTTTCACTTCGGGAACACATCTCAAAATACAGACAACAAAATACAGACATGGTTTCCATTGTTTTTGCAACAGATACAGCTGTTCAATCAGCAACTCTGGATCAAGTCCTCCGCACAATACCTCTATGTCTCTTTGAAAGTCGAACAGGTCGATTCTCTGCCAGTTACTGCCATCCAATGCCAGGACATTCCAATACTGAAAGCACACAAAGAAGCAGTCAGAGTTAATGAGGGGAGATGAGATTAGCAGGGACATAAGTGACCCATTGCAAAATAATGATTTCAGAAATAATAATACTTCCATTTGATAATCCTTGCATTTGATACAGTGCCTTATCCTGGCATCGAGATGTCTCAAAAGCACTTCATGGAATTTTACTATGACGTGTTGTATCTGTATTTGTAGGCAAATGCAGCAGCCAATTTGCACACAGCAATGTCCCACAAACAGCCATTAAGTGAGCAACCAATTTTTATTTAGGGTATTGTCAGCCAAGACACCAGGAGAGAAAAGCCCTTCGCTTTTCAAATAGCACTGCGAGATCTTTATCGGGCCTGGAACAGGTCTATGGGACCTTGTTATAACGTCTTATCCGAAGGACGGCATCTTCGACAAAGCTGCATAGCCCCAGCACTGCAATGAAGTGTCAGTCTAGACTTGTGTGTTCCCACCTAGTGCATTGTGGTTGCAAACCTACAGCATAAAACTATACTGTTTGGACCTGAATCATCAGTCACACTGAAACACGTGATCAGGCTGGGGTAGGAGATGGAAGAATTGACAACGGTGCAGGAGGAAACAATTATCAAAGGCACATTGTTCGGCAAGGCAAACTGAAATTGACACTGCTTCTGGCTATGCTATGAGCACCTGGGAGCACTTGACACGGATAATAGGTGGCAAAATTGACAGCGGTTCCCTGTGTCACACTGACAACCAACGACAGTAAAAAAAAACATAATTGGCTTCGTAATGAACATTAAGTGTTAGTAAAAGATCATTAAATGTGAAGTCTCGAACTCTGAGATGCATAAGATCTGAGTTAAAACCAACCACAGATTTTAAAGGAATATCAACTAGGTAAACAATTGGATGTTACACTGGATTAGTGAAATAAAATGAGACAATAATTATCTTCTTATCTGAGGCGTATCTATAAACAACAAAACCTTTCAAAGCGCTTCACACGGAATTGCTATAAAGTCATTGTGACCGTATGTTTTGTAGGCAAAATGCCTTTGTTGTAGGGCAGTGCCGGCCAAACTGTGGCCCACGAGGCCTTCAAGACACATTCCCCCCACACACCCTTGAACGTTTCCAGGTTTTTCTTGACTGAATATTTCTTGATCTATAGCATAAATGGAGTAGGGTGTTGAGCTGGTTATAGTTATCCGGCAGGTTTTGCATCTTGGTTTGCATCTGAAATCCCTGGAAGCCCATTTGTGGGCAGGCGAGTGGGGTGTTGGGCGTAGCCTTTGATGACACTTTTACTGTTGATTTGTGCTTAATCCATAAAAAGTGTAAATAATCAGTTCCCTCCTCGCCAAATCCCACCCTTCGTGAAGCAAATATTTCTTTTTTTTCCTCCAACAAGTGCAGTTCAACTAGCATCGCACTGACCCATCACCTATCATAGAATCATAGAATCATACAGCACAGAAGCAGGCCATTCGGCCCATCGTGTTGTGCTGTCTCTTTGAAGAGAGCTATCCAATTCAAACCCACTGCCCCGCTCTCTCCCCATAGCCCTGCAAACTTGCCCTCCCAAAATAATTATCTACTTCTCTCTTAAAAGTTGTTATTGAATGGGCCACCCTTTCAGGCAATGCATTCCAGATCCCAACAACTCGCTGCGTGAAAAAAATTCTCCTCACCTCCCTTCTGTTTCTTTTAATAACTATTTTAAATGTCCTCGGGTTACCGACCCACCCGCCAGTGGAAATAGTGTCTCATTGTTCACCCTATTGAATCGCCTCATAATTTTGAAATCTTCTATTAAGTCTCCTCTTAACCTTCTCTGCGCCAATGAGAATAATCCCAGCGTCTCTCGCCTCTCCTGATAACTGAAGTCCCTCATTCCTGGTACCATCCTGGTCAATCTCTTTTGCACCTTCTCCAATGCTTTGACATCCTTCTTAAAGTGCAGTGCCCAGAACTGAACACAGTCTCTCACTGAGGCCCAACCAGTGTTTTATAGAGGTTCATCACAACTTCCTGATTTGACTTTTGTATTCTATGCTCATATTTATAAAGACCCAGTATCCCGTATGCTTTTTTAACAGCTTTGTCTACCTTTCCTTCCACCTTCAAAGATTTACTTATATGACCCCCAGGTCTCTCTGTTCCTTCACCCCCTTTAAGATTGTCCCATCAGCTTATATTGCTCTTCTCATACTTCCTCCCAAAATGCATCATTTTGCATTTCTCCACATTAAACTTCATCTGCCCCGTGTCTGCCCATTTTAGTCTGTCTATGTTCATTTGAGGTCTGCTACTATCCTCCTCACTGTTTACTACTTTTCCAGCTTAGTATCATCTGCAAAGTTGGAAATTGTACTCCCTATACCCAAGTCCAAGTCATTTATATAGATCAAAACAGCAGTGGCCCCAATACCGACCCCTCGGGGACACCACTGGACACTTCCCTCCAGTCAGAAAAAGAGCCGTTCCCCACCACTCTCCGCTCTCTGTCTCCCAGCCAGTTCTGTATCCGCTGCCACTGTCCCTTTAATACTGTGGGCATCTATTTTGCTGACAAGTCTCTTATGTGGCACTTTATCAAAATCACCTGGCCACACACCCAATGGAAGTGTAAAAACATTTGGAAAAAGGAACCATATAAACACCTAAAAAGGAGTGAACTACGGGGTGTGGGGAAAAGGCAGGTACATGGGACTGAAAGGATTGCTGTCAAAGAGGCAGCACAGACACGATGGGTTGAATGGCCTTCTTCTGTGCTGTAAATATCTCCTGTTCCGTGGCTGTTCATTGTGAAGGTATGATCGCCCACGGCAAAGCCGTACGCTTTAAAAATAAAACCACACCCAACGTATGGCCACAGCCCATTTGTAACCCGGGGTATCCGCAGAGTGGGGTTAAAATAGAGAAGAACCCTCATGGGACTTTGAACCCAGTCACACACCCCGAATACAGAAAACACAACACTAAAAGGCGCTGTGCCTTCATGAGCTGAGAGTTTGAGTTTCTTGTTTCATGCCCATCCAGCGACACAAAAACTGCACTCTCACTCTCCACACCTCCCCTCTCCACCTCAGCCAGAAAAACATGCTCCCCCTCAGCCTCCAGAGGGAATGCTGTCTCCAATATTGCTGCCCTACATGGCTGTCCCCTCCGGGAGCCTGGAGAATTGGTCTCCAGATTGCTGGCGACAGCACTCACTACCAAATCAATGCTTGAAGATCCGAGGTAACTCCTAGATTCAGTCTGTCTCTCTTTGCTGCATTCTCATGAGACAGACAATTATGCAAACATTACAGAAAGCCTGGCAGTGCAAATAAAGGCACAGGGATTCGGATCTTAGCTCCACAAAAACACAAGGTTTCAGTGGAACATTTGGTAACGTTTTTATTAAGGCTGCATTACAAAGTCTGATTTATTTCGTCCTGGACTGGGGGTAGAGAGAGTTTGGGGAGGGGTACACCGAAGGGCTTACTGAAAGGATTTATTATAAGCTGTTTCACACAATCTTCTTTTTTTAAATTGCTGCCATGAAGAAAGCCCATGAGCCTGGCGCTCAGGAAGATTTAAACGGCACCATATACATCAACAGCCTGCGGTTACACTCAATCATTTACGGCACGTTGGGCCTTTGCTGCAGCTCAGCTCTGCTCTGCTCAGAACTGGTAGTAACTGTGAAGGGACAATTGTAAATTGCATCCCTCAGTAATGAACGAGTTTCTCTCATTTCTCTCAGGCGCAATCTCTCGCCTCGAGGGACCAAGTTCCAAAGTTAGTCCTTAATGTGACTCCCCCTCCCATCAAGTCCTGGCCTGACAATTAAACAAGATTCACTATGAGACACCAGACTAACGACTTCAAACAGAATGGACAGCCTTTAGGCTTATAGAAGTTCGAAGCAATGAGAGCTGAACATTGTGGGTATCCGGTATTCAATTATAATCGATCTATATTCTTAGATTAAGTGTGCAAATGATTTAGGATTTCTAAATTCTGTACAATAAACCAAATTATGCAATTATATAATATTGAATGAACCGAATCTGGCTGTATCTAACAATTTGAAACACAGTAAAGCAAAAAATAACTCTTAGGCTCGTCAAATTCAAAAATAATAAACATTTAGTGCGTCGTCTTTCATATCAGGAACATGTCCCGAACACGATGTCCCAAACAAGCTCAACATCCCACAAACAGACATGAAGTGAATGACTTTTTTTAAAAAAATTAAATCCAAATTCAAACTACACCGAAAGCTGGTTAAGCCGAACACATCGAAAACGGACGTTTTGTCCGGCTTAAGAGACGTCCCAGGTTAACCCAAACGCCATTCCCCCCGCCCCCCGCCCCCCGCCAATGCCGTATAATGATACGTAATAATGTTGTTTCACTTGAAGCAACGTTAACCCATCAAACAGGACACCGAGTATGTTAACCTACGAGTTAAAGATGAAAATCCTGTTCTCTCAAAGAATTCAGTCAAATATATTTACTTTTGTTTGGCTGTAAAATACTTTCCCACCAGCAGAGGCGCTGCCTCCCTCCCTCCCATTGCCGTTCCCATTGGACGGGAAAGGGACCAATTAGCTGTGGGGGCCTGAGGTGACTGACAGCCGCTTGTGACTGGACGGGCTCCAGCCAATCACAGCTGTCAATCAATCGTGAGTGCCCTCCCCCTCTCCTTCCCTGTTGCTCCGCCCCATCACTGATTGACAGCCCAAATCCAGCCGCTGATGAATGGCTGGAGTCAATCTTAGATTCCTCCCAACGCCATTCCGGAGTCCCTCGTGGCTGAACGGAGCCGCTGGAGACACAGAAGGCCCCAGTGAGTGGGTGCAGCAGCGCCCATTTTGTTCGATTTACCCGGTGTCCTGGATTAACCGGCGTCCGCCTAAAGCGGATTCCACTGTATATGTGCATTTTGCCTTTCACAAATGGAGGGGTTGGATTAGAGGGGTCCATAGAGCGAGTGGTAGGAGAGAAAGGAGCGAAGCTGT